GCTCAGCTTGATTATATGAAAGCAGCTCTTAACTCGTTCGACGAACCCCAAAGAAAGCTATTATTTACTTATATGAAAGGAAAATGCGTTGGATTAACTAGACCAATTCTTCATAGGTACGGTAATATAGAAACTCCCGCCAAACTTAAAGAGATATTAATTAAACATTTCGGTGAAAAGGAAAATAGCTATGATCTTATGGATATGTTAAAACTTTGCAGGGTAGAGTCAACAATAGAACAGTATTATGATAAAATCAATGAAGTTTGTAATAGGCTACACAATCGAATTCTTTTGGGCATGGATGACTCATATAGCACATCTGAGGTAAACAGAATTACCTTACACGTTTTCAGAGACAATTTACCAGAACCTACAAAAACTATGATATTTACAAGAAACCCAAACTCCCTTGATGACGCTTATAAAATTATTGAGGAAGCCCGCCACCAAAGCTACACTGTGTACGGTCCTATAAGAAAATTCAGACATGTTAAACAATCACTTAGAACACAATTTAGTGACAACTGTCATAACTTTAACGACCATATCGCAACTGACCCAGAGAGCCAGGCAATTTATAGGAGTAACCCAAAACCCCACAATAATAATTCATACAACGATAAAATCCATTCACCTAATTAAACTGCCCACAACCAGCAAGCAGTCCAGCCCTCCGAGGTTACACGAATGTCTACTAAAACGAGCTATTCTCGACCATCTGGTCAAAACAAAAATCCTAACGCTCCAATGGACATAGGTCAGTTTGACTCCGATCGTGGACAGATCGACTCTGACGTAGGTTCCTTAGAATATGATGAAAATTTTCTACTAGAAGGGCCAAATCACTTCCCTATATAAAAATTGAAACTGAAATTAGGCCACTCCTTTTTATTATTGATACGGGAGCCGAATTTAGCGTTATTAATAATAACGTATGCCATCCTAAATGGAAAAAAAACATTAACATCTCTGTCAAAGCCATGGGAAACCTAATTAATATACACAAATTATGCAGGTTTCCAGCTTTTAAGGAATTTAAGTCAAAAGACTATTTTTGCGAATTTTTGGAATATAACTTTCATGCGGAGTACGATGGCCTAATCGGGGGTAACATTTTGAACGACCTTAACGCCGTTATAGATTATCCAAAACAACAAATTATTCTCAACAATAATAAAATTTGACTTTTCATAAAGAAACCCAAAAAATCGCTTAGTCCCGAATCTAATCTGCTTCAAATCGATTCAAACGCCAAAAAAATTTTGGCGCCTATTATTGAAAAGTTTAAATCAGTTTTTTATATAGAAGGAGATAATTTAACATTTACAAACGCCATCAAGCATACCATACTAACAAAGAACGACATTCCAATCTACTCCAAAGCGTACAGGTATCCAGAAACACACAAATCGGAAGTGGATAGGCAAATTCAAGAAATGCTTGATCAAAATATTATAAGGCATTCTACTAGCCCTTACAATAGTCCGCTGTGGGTCGTGCAAAAGAAACTAGACGCCTCCAATAAGGAAAAATGGCGCCTCGTTATAGATTACAGAAAGTTAAATAGCCAAACAATCGAAGATCGTTATCCAATCCCCAACATGGATGAAATTGTTGATAAGCTAGGGGGCTGCAAGCTTTTTTCTATACTAGATCTTGCGAAGGGTTTTCACCAAATAGAGATGAGCCCAGATGATATCCATAAAACGGCATTTTCTACAGCTAGCGGTCACTATGAATTTCTTCGCATGCCGTTCGGTTTGCGCAACGCCCCGTCAACTTTCCAGCGGCTCATGAATAACTTGCTCAACCCATACATTGGTCATATCTGTCTGGTCTATATGGACGACATTCTCATCTTTTCGAAAAGTGTAGAAAAGCATGTTGAAGACGTCACGACAATATTTAGTTGCCTAGCCAAAGCTAATCTCAAACTTCATGTCGACAAATGTGAATTTGCCAAAACCGAAGTTCAGTTTCTAGGTCACGTCATAGACGAAAATGGGCTAAGACCTAGTGAAAAAAAAGTCGAGGCTATAGATAGAATACCGCTACCCACGAACCAAAAACAAATCCAGAGTTTTCTAGGCATGACAGGATTCTTGAGAAGATACATACGAGATTACTCAAAAATAGCCCAGAATCTTAACAAATATTTAAAAAAAAATATCAGGGTAAACGTTAATGACATCGAGTATAGGGAAGCCTTCGAAAAACTTAAAACCCTTATTAAAAGCGACCCTGTCGTAATCTATCCCGATTTTGCCAAGAGATTCACACTCGTCACAGACGCCAGTAATATAGCATTGGGTGGAGTACTAATGCAGAGTGAGCGCGTTATTTGCTACGCAAGCCGCAAGCTAAAGGCTGCAGAGCTTAACTACAGCCCAATTGAAAAAGAGCTATTGGCAATAGTTTGGGCTATCAAACATTTTAAGTACTACCTTTATGGTCGTAGGTTTACAGTTAGAACTGATCATCGTCCCCTAGTTTGGCTACATAACCTTAAAGAACCTAACCTTAAGCTTCAAAGATGGAAAATTCAGCTTAACGAGTTCGATTTTGATATCGAGTTTATCAAAGGGAAGGAAAATGCGCTAGCAGACGGTTTGAGCAGAATAGTGCTGGGCGATCCTAAGGTGGGGGATTTTTTAAACGAAAGGGCGAGTTCCGAACCTATAAAAATTGAAGATAAAGACATATTTTTCCTTGAATATGGGAACTCCGAACAAGTGGTAGAATCGAACAAAGATGATGCAGATTACTCGGATGATTTATTAAAGCTTTTTTCAAGCGAGCTAGAAGATTTGGAAACCATTCACAGCGCTGATTCTGACGATTACAACTTTATAAAAATATCAGAAAAGGCTGTCAATGTTTTTAAAATACAAATAATCATATATGAGTCAGAGACAGAAATTCAAACTATAAAAATACTTTTCAAGAATAAAATAAGGCATTTGTTTAAAACCAACGGTAGTCACGAAAATTTATTAAAATTTATGCAAGAAACGCTGCCAGAGAAAGGCTTGGTTGTTGTCTTTTGTGAAAACGTTAGGATATATCTCAAATTTCAAGAGATTTATAGGCAACACTTTGCTAACAATAAAAATCTTGTAGTACTTAAGTCTTGTATCTTATTAAATGATATAACTGATAAGGAACAACTTGTAAAAATCATAAAAAGAGAACACTACAAAAACAATCACAGGGGTATAAGCGAAGTGTTTGCAGAAATGAAACTATTATACTACTATCCAAATTTACAAAGAGAAATCCATTCATTTATCAATAACTGTAAAATCTGTAACCTAGCTAAGTTTGATCGTAGTCCAACTAAATATAAGCTAAATATAACTGAAACACCTAGAAAACATAATGAAATATTACATGTAGATATATGGTACCCCCAAAGAAACATAACTTATCTTACAACTATTGATAAGCTAACCAAATATGCTACAGTACACTTCTTAAAAGATCGATCGTGGACCTCACTGTTAGGCGCACTTAAAGAGAGAATTCAGCATCTAGGAAAACCAGAAAAAATTATCACAGATAACGAATTTAACATGGGATGTATTAAAGAATTTCTGATCGACAATGAAATCGAACTACACCTAACAACACCGTACAAGATAACCGGAAATTCTGACGTAGAAAGGCTTCACTCTACCCTAAATGAACACATACGCCTTTTTAATGCCGATGAAGGCAACAAAGATTCCGTATCAAGCAAGGTTTTTAAAGCCATTATTTACTACAATAACACAATTCATTCTAGTACTAATAAAAGACCAATAGACTTACTTAATAATATACTTAGCCAAGAAGAGATATTGCAACTCTCAGAAAAAGCAGCAATTTATAAACTTAAAATGTATACAAATAACAAAAATGAAGAAGAAAACTTTGAAAATAACTATATTAGACGGCCGTCAGCCGTCGGGTACGCAGGGGGATCAACGGGGGACTCGTCCCCTGCCGTAACTGTGTGCACCGATGGTAGTGCGACTATACTCTCCCCGTGAGGGCGGCTGGAAGCAGGTCCATAGTCTAGCTATGACTATGGATGCTGACGAATCGTAGTCGGGCGGACCTGGGCAGGTCTTTAAAGTGCCTCCCCTCAAGTCAGGCGTGTCAAGCGACCCGTGCCCGCTGACTTTCAGGTTCGCAGCTGAGGGGTTAATCCAGCTGTGTTTTAACGGAGCCTTCCCAGGGCCGGGCAACCCTGGGTCGGAAGTGGCCTTGCCGTGGCTTTGGGGCGGAGTCACGGTCGACTTTTTCATAGAGCCCCAACAACCCTCAGGCCCGCCGCGCTTGCCTGGTCGAGCAACGCGGGCGATCATGTACTGACAATGAAACCCAACACCGTAGCTTCGGACCTCACGGGGGAGGTTAAACCCCAAACCGATTCCGCTACCGTCGAGGTAGGGCCGCGAACACCCAGTCAGGGTGCTCCGGCTCCGATGGGAACGGAAGGGGCTGCTAAGACCAGCACCCCACTAGACAACAAGAACAACAACCCACACAGCAGCGGAACCCAGCCGGGTACCAGCAAGGCAGCCACCGTTACGCATCAGCAGCGTAAGGCCAAGGTCAGTCGGGCCCGTTTTATTCTCGGCAAGATAGCCAAGAATGAGGCAGAGGGCAAGACTGACCAGCGCGATGCGGAGGACAAGACTCGATGCCTTGCGGAGATCGCAGAATTCGAAGAATACATGAGGACGCGCCCGGAGGCCACTGTAACAAACACAAAAAGGGACCGCTCGCATGAGGCAAGCGTGAGCGCACCGAAACGGGCAAAGGACGCACAGGGGAGGCCAAGACCGACCTCCTTTGTGAAGAAGGCCAAGAAATTCAGCGACGTAGCCAGAGACAGCCTCGCGATGGCACTGGTGGACGACCTGCACGACGACGGACGCCTGCTGTCGGAGAAGTGGGAGGAGATCGAGATCAAGGTGGCCGACATGGTAGCTGAAAGGCTATCAGCCGTGCCAGACGGTCCGATCCCCTCCTTCGACTCGTCGGACATGGTCAGAGGGCACCGGGTGATCAAGTGCGATGACTCGTTCTCGAGGACCTTCCTGGCGGAATGCATATCCAAGATTGGAAATGCATGGGACGGCCTTAGCATTAGGCTCGTCCACGCCAGGGAGATTCCAAGGAGGCCGCGGGCTCGCATTTGGTTGCCAAAGGGGCAGACTGACCAAGGAAAGGTGCTGTCGCTGCTGAGGGCTCAGAACCCAGAAGTGCATACTGAGGACTGGGCAATACTCAAAGTAGAGAAGGAGATGAAGACGAGCCAGCCGTTCCTCTTCCTCATCAACCAGCGCTGCCTGCCGCAGCTTGAGAAGGCCGACTACACCATCCGGTACGGCCTACGGAAGGCCAAGATCAAGGTCTTCCTGGCAGAGCCGGATGATGTTCTCGAGGAGGTCGATGACACCAACAAGCTGTTGGATGACCTGGTCATCGACGACAAGACCCCAGACATAACACCCAACACCGATGCCTAAAGTCGTGCAGATTAACCTGAAGCGCAGCATGCATGCTTCAGCCAATCTTGCAGTTCTTCTCAGTGAGAGGAACATTGACATAGGCATCGTTCAAGAACCATGGACGCGAGACAGACAAATCTCGGGTCTAACACAACAAGGATATAAACTCTTTTATACTAACTCGACAGGTAGGCCGAGAGCAGGTATTATTATAAAGAATAACTATAACGCACTTCTATGCCCCAATCTTAGCACACCGGATCTAGCAGTTGCCAGATTCGTGGCGGCGGATGGGACATCGATGGTGATAGCCTCATCCTACATGGCCCATGATGAACCGGCTCCACCTGAGCCAGTCATCAAGCTGCTGCAATGGGCGGAAGATACTAAGACGACCCTGGTGCTCGGATGCGACGCTAACGCGAGGCACGCACTATGGGGAAGCTCGGAAACCAACGAAAGGGGTGAGTCTCTTTTTGATAATATTATCTGCCGCAACATCACCATATGTAACAGAGGTAACACACCCACCTTTATATTCCCAAGCACAAGGGAATTTCAGGGATGGGAAGAGGTGTTAGACCTCACTTTACAGACAGAATTTAGTAGATATAAGGTTGAAAAGTGGATAGTGTCGAAACAAAATTCCTTTTCAGATCACAGGTACATTTTCTTCGAAATTTCGATTCCGATTAGCAAACCGGAACCGAAACGTAACCCCCGTAGAACAAACTGGGACAAATTCGGTAAGATTGTCTACTCGAAAGTTAGCAACAGAAGAATACGGGTACAAACCTCTACGACGACCCTGGACAAGGAAGTAGAGGACCTAACAAACATTCTAAACAATGCATATAAGGAAACATGCAAGGTTTCATACTCTAAGAAACAACACCCTTTATGGTGGACCAAAGAGCTAGGCACTCTAAGAAAGAGGGCAAGAAAAGCCTATAACTCCAGCTATGCTACCAAGGAATGGGAGCCATACAAAGAAGTACAAAAAAGCGATATACGCAGCCAAGAAAGACTCTTGGAGGACTCACTGCGAATCGCTCGAAGGTATAAAATACTCGGCTAGACTAAGCAAGGTCCTTGCTAAAGGGTATAACAGCCCAACTCTACTACACAAACAAGACGGATCAGCGACTACAACGGTGGAAGAATCCCTAGAGACACTAGTGGATACACACTTTCCAGGCAACCTTCGAGAAAAGCCAGCACCTACTGAAGGTCAGAGGGCTCATCAACCAACACACACAAGGGATATCATAACCATTGAAAGAATCAACTGGGCGATAAACTCCTTCGACAAATATAAGAGTCCGGGGCCAGACGGCATTTTCCCGGCAATGCTTCAAGCAACACAGGTCAGCATCAGTAGGTGGCTGCAAGCCATTTACACGGCTTGCATCAGACTAACACACATACCGCTTCTATGGAAGGAAGCCAAAGTTGTATTTATACCAAAACCAGGAAGAAGAGGACATATCCTAGCAAAGGATTACAGGCCGATCAGCCTTACCTCATTCCTAATGAAAACGCTGGAACGAATGATCGATATTCATATCCGGGAAAACACCGAGAAGCAGCATCTATCGGACGCTCAGCATGCGTACCGAAAGGGCAGATCGACAGAAACGGCACTACACGAAGTAGTTTGCCACATAGAAAAATCGCTACATTTTAACCAATATACAATGGCCACCTTCTTAGATATAGAAGGTGCGTTCAATAATGTGAACGCCGAATCCATACTGAGCTCCCTCAACTCGATCGGCGTTGAAGGAGACATCAGAGCTTGGATCGGAGTTATGCTCACGAGCAGGACGATAACAGCCGAACTGAGTGGCACTTACCTCACACGCTTTGTGAAGAGAGGCACACCTCAGGGCGGGGTTCTATCGCCACTGCTCTGGCTCATCAACATGAACGACATATTGAGAGAACTCAATAGCGGAGGAGTAAAAGTAGTAGCCTACGCAGACGACGTAGTGTTGCTAGTATCAGGACCATTCCCAGATGTCATTAGTAATATAATGACGGGGGCCCTTAACCGACTAAATGAATGGGCAAAAACCTGCGGACTAGGTATAAACCCGAGTAAAACCGAACTGATGCTCTTCACGCGAAGAACAAAGATCCCAACATACAGCAAACCAAAAATAGATGGAATCGAACTCGAGCTATCGGATAAGGCTAAGTATCTAGGAGTGATACTAGACCCGAAGCTCTCGTGGAAACTGAACATCACGGAACGAGTAAGAAAGGCCAGCATAGCATTCTACTCGTGCAGGAAAATGTTTGGCAAAAACTGGGGTATACACCCTAAGATAATATTATGGCTTTATACAGCAGTGGTAAGGCCAATTCTCACATACGGGGCACTAGTCTGGTGGCCAGCCCTGACAAGAGCATACAATATTGCCAAGCTGACAAGAATACAAAGATCAGCTTGCGCAGGAGCTACAGGGGCATTAAGATCATGCCCGGCTGCCGCGTTGAACACTATTCTGGATATAATGCCGATAGAACTTTTCATAAAGGATACGGCAGCGCAGAGTGCGGCCAGACTGAAGGCAAGTAATTGCTGGAAAGGCTACCACACAGGGCACTGCCGTATCTTAGAGGACAACAACTATCTGGCAAAGAACAAGACGGATTATATGACAGCGGAGATAAGATTTGGAAACGGATTTACGACTACCTTTCCAACGAGGGAAGACTGGGAGAATGACAGAGTAACCGGACAAGATGAGGTATCACTCTACACTGACGGCTCCAAGATGGACTGTGGTGTAGGGGCTGGAATTTTCGCTGAAAGCTGGGGGATAGAATCGAAATTCCACCTCCCAGAATCAGCGACAGTTTTTCAGGCTGAGGTACTCGCTATTTTGGAAGCAGCCAAGCTTTCGATTCAGCAATGCCTCAGGAATACCAAGGTACGGATATACTCGGATAGCCAAGCGGCTATCAAATCTCTCGCAGCAGCAAGAACCAACTCGACACTAGTAGCCGATTGCAAGTCGGCTCTCAACATACTAGCAACAAACAACCATGTACAGATAACATGGGTGCCAGGGCACAATGATATACCAGGAAACGAAAAGGCGGATGAACTTGCACGAAAGGGGTCGGCAGACGACTCCTATACAACTAGTCTACCTGAATCCCTTAATACAGTCCAAGCAAGGATTCACGAACACTACAAAACACTAGCTAGTAAAAGTTGGTCAGAAAAGCAGGGTCTCAGGAGATCAAAGCTCTGCTGGCCAACCATCAATAGCAAGAGAACTCGAGAACTAATATCCAAAAGCAAAAGGGATATTAGAAGGATCACGGCACTCATCACAGGCCATTGGGCCATTGGCACGCAAGCCATGAAGATGGGGCTTCCGTACAATGCTAATTGCAGGAGCTGCAAAGAAACAGACACACAGGAGACACCTGAGCACATGATGTGTCATTGCCCAGCACTAAACCATATCAGGGCGAGATACTTCGGGGCGTATCAGCTGGAATCATTGGGAGAAATAGGAAAGCAGAGGATAACTGCAATCCTAGGTTTTCTAAATGATGCAGGCTGGTACTGAAGAGAACGCGGAGACAACAATTTACGAGGGTGTGGATCAAAACGGAGCTCAGCTCTACTTGGAGGCTCTCAGAGAGGACCTCACCACTTCTACCTACCTACCATATTAAGAATAATCAAATAGGAAAGTCTAAGACAAAATACCGTGAAATCGATGGGTACAGGAGAGAAGGAAATTATCTGCTACTAGATGAAAATCCCCAAAAAAAGATTTATAAAGACCAAGTAAAACGAAAATTTAAGTACCAAAATACAAACAAACAAAATGTGACAGAACAATAGCTAGCTTTTGAATATCCATCCTGTAATACATTTTTATTTCCTTTATAAACCAATTTATATTCAACAATTATTGTTGAATCTTGCGGTGGGGGAGTCATATATATTAACATAACGTATATATTAACATATTGTCATCCCTAGATATTAAGACAGCTGATTATTAAAAAGCTCTTGTTAAAGTAAGCCCATCTCTGGGAAGTGAGTCTTATAAGAAACACGACGAAGTGGAGTTGAATAAAACTTACTTAAAGGACACGCTTGTATTTTGCGCTAACGATTGCGTATATTTGGCAACCGAAGAAGGCTGCCAAATTTAACAAGGATTCCGGCAACGAGGCCTTTCCTGATTCCCGCAACACGAGATTGCGAACTTGTGGCCTTAGCATTGTTAAACCTTTCGCCACCTAAAAGACCAAAGTGGTTGGAAACGTAAACCCTAAAATTCCACGGTTTGCGAACTAGGTTGCAACAATTATCAATGGCTACATAACTATATACATAAACTTAAAACTCATATGCCTCAAGGAAAAATGCTTCCCATGATTAAGGACGATGTGTTACAATTGTACAAGTTGATGAAAGCAGAAGCAAAGGTAGTAAAGGATTATGTCATCTTCAAAATTACACTGCCTTTAATCTCAACGCAGCTTTTTGAACTTAATAATTTGGTACCAATACCTGTGATAGTCAACAACAAAATTATATCACTGGATATTGAACATCCAATCATAGCTGTGAATCAACACAGAGATCAATTCATTGCTATGACAGCTAAAGAATTTGATCTATGCAAGTCCATTAACGAGGACGTATATATTTGCTCAGATAAGCAAATGATATTTTCAATTGACAATCACTGCGAATTTCAATTGTTTAATAATAAATCGTCGTCACTATGCCAAACTGTGACATCTACGAAATCCCTTTCATGGCAAAGATTAAAAGCCAAAAAACAATGGATTTTCTCAATGCAAACACCAATGGAGCTTTCTGCAGTATGTGGCGATCAATTATCAACCATTAATATTGATAGCACTGGACTTCTAGTTTTGGACCCAAAGTGCACTCTACGAAACTCAATTCTAAGTGTGATTGGCCATCAAGAGACGTCAACAGGAACGATGAAATTGTCATATGCTCGATTTGGCAATTTAAATCAATCGTCTGCAACGGATACTAAGATTTCAAATTTAAATAATTCATTGAAGTTAAATACCTATGTTGCCTTGTTTTTGTCACTCGGAGTCATAGTCGTTTACTTGTGGAAACGACTCTAAAAGAAGACACCTCCACAAACGTCATCATCTTCAAAGGACATCGAACTAGCAGAACAACCTCGGTTACTCAGCTCATCAAGGATGCACCATCTGATGTCTTCGTCCGACGCCTTTGAGATCAACATTGGATGATGTTGAACACCTGTTCAACGGCCGGGAGTATGTTAGCGCCTGCAATTGAGTCCCTAAGATGTCAACAGCAGCCGCAGCCAACGCCAGCTCAAACCCCGCTACCTGCCGTTCCAGCATTCTATTTTTACTAACTCTAGCCTATTAATCCCTTGCATGGGAGACAAATTGT